AGTTCGCCGACAAATCTGTGAAAGCACACACACGTACGGATTTGTACGGCGCGACTGGGGTGCGGCGCGGCGCTCGCGTCTCTCGACGGCGAGCGCCGCGCCGAGCCGCGAGCCGCACTCACCAATACATTCACACGCGGATTTGTCCGCGGACTTGTCGCCAGCGACAAATCCGGCGGATTGGCGCGCCCGTGAATGGTAGACTTTATAAGCCTACCGCACCCCAGTCGCTCCGTACAAATCCGTACGTGTGTGTGCTTGCACAGATTTATCGGCGAACTTGTCAGTCATTTGTAGTGCGTGCACGCAGAACTACCTCTTAACTTGTTAATACTGAATCACGTCTGTATCACTATTTTGACGTTTATGCGATAGTGTTTTAAGTCAAAAAGTTGAACATAATACGCATTTAAGTTGATATCAAGTTAATATAATTTTAAAGAGTTGATCATAATACGCTTAATTTGATGTCATTTTGATATCGCATTTTTCGGAGAGCATAATACGCAATGTGAAATTGACATCAAAACAATATCACAATTAGCGAACATAAAGAGCTAATTGTATCTCTTCTACAAGGGGTTAATCTCTTCTACGCATGTCCTCGGCATGAGCACGTTCTAAATAGTCCATTTCTAACACGAAACGAGCTATTTTACTCTTTTTATTAAAAAATAAAGAAATTTGATACAGAAAAACCACCTCCTAACTTGTTAAGTCTGTATCACATTTTTGACGTTTATGCGATACTGTTTTATGTCAAAAAGTTGAACGTAATACGCATTGTTGATATCATTTTTGATGTCAAGTTGATGTCATTTTGATATCGCATTTTTCGGAGAGTATAATGCGTAATGTGAAATTGACATCAAAACAATATCACAATTAGCGAACATATTGACCTGCAGTTGAGTTGTTTGTATCACGAACGAGTAAACGAGTATAATAACATGTCGTTCGGCGATCATAAAGAGTTTTGGCAAGAATTTATCCTGCTGTTTAAAGAGAAAACTAAAGAGAAACAGGTGGTTTACAGGACTGAATGCATTGCAGAAATTTTAAATGAGTATATTTTGTTCGTTGTTTCAGCCATTCCTTTGTTCAGACGCTCTTTTTCTTTTTATTCTCCGTTAAAAGTATTGCACCGACTACTAAAGCGACTTTTGTGCGTTTGGACAGCACCGGTGGCATGGTAGGGTAGGGAAGAACGATACGCGCGAGGCTCACCAAAGTATACAAGCGACTGGACTGTAAAGCCCACCATTCACTACACGCACCGCGAGCCGAACCGCGAGCCGTACCCATCCGTGGACAAATCCGTCATTGCCCACACACTACACGAGCGCCGAGTTGCAGTCCAGTCGCTTGTGTACTTTGGTGAGTTTCGCGCGTATCGTTCTTCTCTACCCTACCATGCCACCGGTGCTTTCCAAACGCACAAAAGTCGCTTTAGTAGTCGGTGCAATACTTTTAACGGAGAATAAAAAGAAAAAGAGCGTCTGAACAAAGGAATCGCTAAAACAACGAACAAAATATACTCATTTAAAATTGCTGCAATGCATTCAGTCCTGTAAACCACCTGTTTCTCTTTAGTTTTCTCTTTAAACAGCAGGATAAATTCTTGTCAAAACTCTTTATGATCGCCGAACGACATGTTATTATACTCGTTTAATCGTTCGTGATACAAACAACACAACTGCAGGCCAATTATGCTCGCTAATTGTGATATTGTTTTGATGTCAATTTCATATTACGCATTATGCTCTCCGAAAAATGCGATATCAAAATGACATCAACTTGACATCAACTTTAAAATGATATCAACATAAATGCGTATTACGTTCAACTTTTTGACATAAAACAGTATCGTATAAACGTCAAAAATGTGTGTTTTTCTGTATCAAATACCTTTATTTTTTTAATAAAAAAGAGTAAAATGGCTCGTGTTGTGTAAGTAATGGACTATTTAAAACGTGCTCATGCCGAGGGCATGCGTAGAAGAGATAAACCCCTTGTAGAAGAGATACAATTAGCTCTTTATGTTCGCTAATTGTGATATTGTTTTGATGTCAGTTTCACATTACGTATTATGCTCTCCGAAAAATGCGATATCAAAATGACATCAAATTAAGCGTATTATGATCAACTCTTTAAAATGATATTAACTTGATATTAACTTAAATGAGTATTATGTTCAACTTTTTGACTTTAAACAGTATCGCATAAACGTCAAAAAAGTGATACAGAATTAACAAGTTAAGAGGTTGTTCTACGTGCACGCACTACAAATGACTGACAAGTTTACCAATAAATCTGTGCAAGCACACACACGTACGGATTTGTACGGCGCGGCTGGGGTGCGGCGTGGCGCTCGCGTCTCTCGACAGCGAGCGCCGCGCCGAGCCGCGAGCCGCACTCACCAATACATTCACAAGCGGATTTGTCCGCGGACTTGTCGCCAGCGACAAATCCGGTGGATGGGCGCGCCTGTGAATGGTAGCCTTAACTCGGCGCTCGTGTAGTGTGTGGGCAATGACGGATTTGTCCACGGATGGGTACGGCTCGGGGTTCGGCTCGCGGTGCGTCTAGTGAATGGTAGGCTTTAAAGCCTACCATTCACAGGCGCGCCAATCCGCCGGATTTGTCGCTGGCGACAAGTCTGCGGACAAATCCGCGTGTGAATGTATTGGTGAGTGCGGCTCGCGGCTCGGCGCGGCGCTCGCCGTCGAGAGACGCGAGCGCCGCGCCGCACCCTAGTCGCGCCGTATAAATCCGTACGTGTGTGTGCTTGCACAGATTTATCGGCGAACTTGTCAGTCATTTGTAGTGCGTGCAGTGCGTGCACGCAGAACCACCTCTTAACTTGTTAATACTGGATCACGTCTGTATCACTATTTTGACGTTTATGCGATAGTGTTTTAAGTCAAAAAGTTGAACAATAATACGCATTTAAGTTGATATCAAGTTAATATCATTTTAAGGAATTGATCATAATACGCTTAATTTGATGTCATTTTGATATCGCATTTTTCAGAGAGCTTATTACGTAATGTGAAATTGACATCAAAACCATATCACAATTAGCGAGAATAATTGGCCTGCAGTTGTGTTGTTTGTATCATGAACGAGTAAACGAGTATAATTACATGTCGTTCGGCGATCATAAAGAGTTTTGGCAAGAATTTATCTTGCTGTTTAAAGAGAAAACTAAAGAGAAACAGGTGGTTTACAGGTCTGAATGCATTGCAGCAATTTTAAATGAGTATATTTTGTTCGTTGTTTCAGCCATTTCTTTGTTCAAACGCGCTTTTTTTTTATTCTCCGTTAAAAGTATTGCACCGACTACTAAAGCGACTTTTGTGCGTTTGGAAAGCACCGGTGGCATGGTAGGGTAGGGAAGAACGATACGCGCGAGGCTCACCAAAGTACACAAGCGACTGGACTGCAACTCGACGCTCGTGTAGTGTGTGGGCAATGACGGATTTGTCCACGGATGGGTATGGCTGGGGGTTCGGCTCGCGGTGCGTGTAGTGAATGGTGGGCTTTAGGCAGTACTCTATAATCCGACAAATTCGATAATTCGACACTGCCCTGCAAAATGTTTGTCGGACTACCGGGGATTTTGCTCATTCTTGCCATAGGTAATTTACTTTTTATCACCAATAAATCAATACATTAAAAATGTCTCTGTTAAGTAACGTTTCAATTTTATAATAGAGGATCACAAATTGTAATCAATTGCGATTTTTTAAGTACTTGCGATGCGATATCCACTAATTTTCTTTCAGTAACAGAATATCGAGCTTTTTCATTCAATTAAAAAGGCTTGAACCATTATTATATTTTTTTAAGCGTTTAAGAAACAGTTACATTGTTAGATACAATGAAACCAAATTGGAACTGGTGGTAGTTTACAATATACAAGATCACACGTATTAGGGTCACTTACCTTACAAAGGTCACCATCATAGCATTAGTGGGGTCTGAGGTATTACACTTCTAAACACAATAATTAACTACTAGGGGAGAAGGAGGTGCCTTAGCACAGGGGCAGATTTGAACATGTTGATTTCTGAACGTAACTTTATGTTAATTTATGCCGCAACTACATTTTAATATTGGCAGCACTGGCTGTGACAAAATTCAAGTAAAAAAGCGTTTCATTTTCAAGAAAAATAACCTGTCGTCGTATTTGTACCGGTGAAGTAAAAAATAAAAATAAATGTAGGAACGGATTTACTATCACGTGAGTAAAGGTTTCCAACTAATTCTTTCAGAAAATTGTGCAGTAATTATTAGTTTTCAATCCACCTTGTAGTTTTTTGCTTGCCAGTTATTTCACATTTTTTTTGTTTTATCTTCCAAGTGACCATGAGGCAGATTTGATAAAAACAAACGGGAATGATTTTTTGTGGTTTAAAAGTTTGATATTAAGTTTATTTTAATTTTAATTTTGCGTCTGAGGCAGTATTATATAATTTTAATAACAATAAACTAAAACTCTTGTGCAATATGATTATTTTTGTTAACAAGGAGGAAGTCAGACACAATTAAAAATTACTATTTTTATTTTTGTTACTGTAATGCAAGATGTAACTTTAGAAGTTTCGTATAAGTTTATTTTATAATAATAATAATAATAAATATCATTATAATAAAGACAAATTATTACTCTCCTATCCTCTTTTTTCTGGTTCCTAACCCATTGTTCAAAATTGCCCCATGTCGATTCAAATGTGCCCATGGGGAGGCAGATTTGAACAAATTTGTGTTTAAAAGAAACACATTATTTCTCTTTAACGTTTTCAGCAAATTCAAACATTTCATCATTTTTATATTAACAAAGGAAGAAGCTAAGAAAACTATGTTTTTTAATTTTTTCTTTACAGTTGATTTTTTATGAGTCCAAATATGAAAAATGTGCTAATGTGCCGTGCCTCCTTCTCTCATACTTAATTAAAAAAAACAAAAAAAAAATAACGGACGTTGATTCTACTTACCATTAGGAAACTGTATCCGATCCAAAGTTGTTCCCAGTCGTTAGGACATGCGGGTACATCGTTGCTTTGGCTGTGTATTGCTATTGTTCTGGTGGGCGATTCACAAACTTGGCACCTGAAAATGATTCATATCAAAGATAGTAGTTAAGTCCTGCACGAAAATAAATTACCCATAACTTAAGTAGGTAGGTAGTTATTACAGTTAAAAAATATATATAGTAGTCTTCTATATTTAGGTGATAGCTAAGAAGTAGTAACTATATAAGCGCTTATACGGATTGGCGGTAAGCCGCATTTTCATTTCAGTATACCGTGTGTGAGGAGCTCGATGGCGCAAGTGGTTAGCGCGTTCGGCTGCGATCGTTGAAGTTAAGCAACTTTCGCAGTGGTCGGTCATTGGATGGGTGACCAAAAAAAAATTTACTATCCCGAGCTCCTCCGTGCTTCGGAAGGCACGTTAAGCCGTTGGTCCCGGCTGCATCTGCAGTCGTTAGCACCCACCAATCCGCACTGGGCCCGCGTGGTGGGTCATGGCCCAATCTCCCTATTCCATCCATAGGGAAGGCCTGTGCCCCAGCAGTGGGGACATTAATAGGCTGATGATGATGATACCGTGTGTGATTTCGATCTTTTAAGTGGTTCATCACGATTTTCAGGAAAACTATAACTCACATCGAAAAAATGTCAATGGCAGAATTGTAAGTAATTAAAAGACCTACAAATGTTGTATTTACACTTTACAATTTTAGCAAATAAACGATTTTTTCAAATTTCTGCAAATTATCAAAATAACCATCTTTTTGGTTTTCTATTTTTATCTCCCACAAAAAACTTCTTATTTTAACGAATTTTTAATTCTTTGGATCATCTATTTTCTGATGGTATACAAAAATATACTACTATATAAATAATACTATATAATATAATACTACGGAAAAAATCTGTGAAATGCGAATGCGTCGTCGCGATTGTCGATCCTTTAAGGGGGAAAATCGTTTTACCGTGATTTTCGGAAAAATAACAACTCCTATAGAAAAATATTCAATTGAAAAGTTGTATGGAATTAAAAGATGCACAACTTTTGTATTTTTCACATAACTTAAAATTTTTGCGAAAAATCAAATCACCCGTAAATTACTTATCCTCTTTTTTATGTGTTCTCCTTCTTTTGAAATGGGGTTCACATGTTCTGTTTTTTTTTCAATTTTTATCTTGTAATGTAAAAGGCAGCATTTGCTACATTATTCGAAAATCAAGCTAAAAAGTAACAACCAAAATTAAATATTGGCTGCAAACCGGTGGTTTTGGATTACATGGTTACCTATTCTTCAAAGGATTTAAGAGTTTATATTTCCAATCACCAATTTTAAAATTAATTTATTATATTAAATTTTAGATTTATCTGATCTTTATGAAAGATCTTCGTTGTGAAAAACACGAGTTGAGATTAAAGAATTAACTATTAATAATTTTACATTATTTGGTAATAAATGTCAAAGTAAATACCTTGATATGTAATTTCCAACATCTCTAGCTTGAATGGGAGTCATACTCATAGGCATTGGTTCTGGTGTTGACAGCCAGAAACTGTAGTCTTCTCTTTGTGCGAAATCACACACGTTGTTCAAATTACAGAACATATATGGCATTGTGGAAAACTTGCGTAAACAGCTGCCCGGAGCACCTGCAAAAGTGAAGTTGTGAGGAGGATCCGAGAATGTGTCTGGCAGTATGAATTTCAAATTGTTTAAAATATTCTGAACAATAGGTGTAAGAATCAGCCCTCAGATTGTAAGTTAGGTTTGTAAAATTTTTACGTGCTTGTGCCACCTTGATAGCTAAAAATTGACACACCAGCACAAGTAAGCGAGTATGTATACGTTCACTGTACACAGTAATACTATTCGATTATTCATATTTCGGCCATGAAAAAAATAATAAGGGATGGCAGTCTTGGAACTTACTCTATTAGTGTAGTAATGGTATTATGATTTAAATAAATTTATTTAAATAATAGTGAGTTCATTTAGTTAGGTTCGCAAAGTATATACAAATAAATTTAATCTACTTCGCAGAAAACAATATCATACCACTTGCATTTTGTGGAGCACAGAAGAAGTTTTTAAAGATTAATTTTATTTTACTCTAGTTATTATATGTAAAAGTTGGGTATAATATGGCCGCGAAAAGTACAAAGAAATATCTTACCCAAGTCTTGTCCATGTGCTTCAGCATTTGCGACTATATGGATCAGTGAAAATCCGTCCCATAGTGGAGACGTTCCATCGGGGCATTGCGGTATCATTCTTGTTTGAGAATGTACTGTGAAGTAATAGCCCCTTGATTTTGGTATCGGTGGTGGAGGCGCTGGCAAACCTGGAGAGCCTGTTGCCCCTCGATAGCCTTCGAGGCCGCGTTCTCCTTGCCGGCCTTTCATTCCCTGCAACCCTGCAATCCCAGGTTCACCGACTGGACCCCTATAACCCATATCTCCTTTCATTCCCTTAATGCCTGGTATTCCATTACGACCATCAAGTCCTGGCCTGCCTGGTTGGCCAGGTCGGCCATCAAACCCTTGAGGGCCAACATCCCCGACTGGCCCAGGCGGAATTTCTGAAAACGGGACTCTGTCACCCCTGTCACCTTTTAAACCAGTTGGTCCTGCTAGACCTGGAGGGCCTTGTTCACCCTCATTTCCCCTTTCTCCTTTTATACCGCGTAATCCTTGAGATCCTGGATAACCATCTAATCCAAAATCACCTGAATCTCCTTTCTCACCTCTGAGACCTTGTAGACCGGTCCAGCCAGGATTTCCTTCCATTCCTTTGGGGCTTATTGCAAAGCCAATCTCTCCAGAACTACCCTTGGTACCAGTTAATCCAGGTACACCTTCCATTCCTCTTGGACCTGGCGCTCCTGGGTATCCTCTTCTTCCTGGTGTACCATCCATACCCTTCATTCCCTTAGGTCCCTGGAAACTGAGACCTGGTTGTCCAGGTGCTCCCTCTGGTCCGTCAACACCAAAATCACCAGGAGCACCTTTCTGACCCATTGGTCCGGGCCATCCTGGGAGACCATCAATACCAGGTTTTCCTTCTTTACCTTGTGGTGCAGACTCTCCATCTAAGCCAGGCATACCAGGAGGACCTTGATCACCAACACCACCTTTACGACCGGGGATACCGTCGTCACCAGACATTCCTTGCTCACCAATATCGCCTATTTCTCCTTTTGTACCAATGTAACCAGAAAAACCTTGATCTCCAGTATCTCCTTGAATGCCAGCGAACCCTTCTGAACCCATTTCACCCATGTCGCCCCTAGAAGCTGGCGAAAATGCACTAGGTCCAGGATCGCCTCTTTGTCCTTTATTTCCTATTTCCCCTCGTGGACCTTGTAAGCCAGGGAACCCTTGATCACCAGGAAGCCCCGGCATGCCCATTTTGCCCGGTTCTCCATCAAAACCTCTATCACCTTTGATGCCTAATAAACCAGGGAAACCTCTATTTCCCATCAAGCCCTTGAGGCCATCATATCCATTTCTTCCTGGGACACCAGGAATTCCGGGATATCCTTTGTCACCAATTTGGCCAGTGAATCCGATGAAACCAGTATCACCTACTTCTCCTTTTGTTCCGTTAAATCCTGGTCTTCCTGAATATCCCATATCTCCTCTTATACCTTTTGATCCAGGCATTCCTTCAAAACTAAGTCCAAAGTCCCCGATATCCCCCTTTACACCTTTGGGGCCCGGTATGCCTTGCTTTCCTGGTATACCGTTAAAACCTGGTTCACCATTGTCTCCTTTTAGTCCAACTCCTGAATCGTCACCTGGTAATCCTTTCAGACCAGGCATTCCGTAATCTCCCCTTAGTCCTTTAGCTCCAGGCAACCCATCTAAACCGGTAAGACCCCTAAATCCGATGTCACCAGAGGATCCTTTAAGTCCTTCAGGTCCTATTGAGCCAGCTCGGCCAGGTCTTCCACTGTAACCAGGCAGACCAGTTTCTCCACGGTCACCTAAATCTCCACGGAGGCCTGCTCTTCCCATGAGGCCCGGAAACCCGGGGAAACCAATAGGTCCGCTGTCTCCTGGGTAGCCTCGTAAACCTCTATATCCTGCCTCTCCCTTCATGCCCTTTGGTCCTTCATCACCTTGCAAACCATTGTGTCCCTGTATTCCTGGATCACCAATAGGTCCTATTGCTCCTGGAAGACCTGGCATACCCGGTAACCCTCGAGCACCTTGTATAGATATACCGGGTATTCCTTTACGTCCCTATAAAAAATAAGTCAATTAACCAAATAATATATAATTAGGTTACTTCCAAATGTATAACCAAAGTATGCTACCGATAAAAACTTACGGGTGGTCCCATTGGTCCATCAAAACCAATATCTCCGAGAGGGCCTACTTCTCCTTTCTGACCAATACTACCCATGTGGCCTGGCATGCCTGAGAAACCAGGCTCTCCGATATCTCCCGGTTCACCAGGTCCTCCATCTATACCTCGCTCACCTACTAGAATGGAAGCACCAATATCACCTCGTGAACCCTTGTGTCCTTTACTGGCAGGAAAACCATTATCACCACGTGGTCCAGCGGTACCAGGTTCACCAAAAGGCCCAATGTCACCTTTTAGACCAATATGACCTTTAAAACCCTGTATTCCTGGCATGCCATAGCCCGGTCTACCCATATCACCTCTGATACCAGGAAATCCGTCATAGCCCATATCACCCTGTTGACCTTTTCTACCACGTATGCCTAAAAATAATACAAAATTATAACTCCGAGTATTACATGTTTTTTGTATTTTCTTTTCTTTTCACTAATTGCGTAAAAGACAAAATACGTAAAAAGACTTAATTAAGTATATATATGAAATTTTAATAAAAAATAAGTAGGTATAAATATTTATTTGTTGTTTTGTTTGTACGCGTGTGTCACTGTCCGTTTTTTTAGGTATAATATATTGAACAATTTACAAAAAATTAAAATCGTGCATTTTTATTTGTCTGTTTATATATTCTATTTCTTCGAAGTACATTCTTTTTATTTTGCAAACGCCTATTATTTCGTTAGTAAAATAAGATGTATTTATGAATAGTAACTGATCCAACGTACCTTTTGGGCCAATGAAGCCCGGCGGTCCTCTGTAACCTTTATTATTTATTTCATTATCCAGTGCTTCTCCGGCTTCTCCCTGCACACCGTCTTCTCCTGGTTCACCGTAGTCACCTCTAATTAATAAAATAAATGCCTTAAACTCATTTAAAATCTGCCAAACATACAAATTCTTTTTAATTTTTCTTGACCGACCGACGACGACCTTAATACTGTTGACCTGAGTTAATGGTGACGATTCTGGCATGATTAACTAATCCTGAATTTAAATTTGACATCAGTGTATCCTTGTCACGCTCTATACAGAATGAAAAGGAGAGACTGATGTTAAATAAAGTTTTAAGTTGGGAGGATCATGACAGAATCGACACCCCTATAATGTTATAGTAAGGTACGCTTGGCTTCTCTTCGTAAAAAAATCGACTAATTAGAATCGGATTAACAGCACACAGATAGTTTATTATTTTCTTAACTAACTCCTATAAAATTTATAATGAGAACCGGTCGGCAGCGTTCCTACTTTTTTGGAAACGAAGCCAAAATAAAAAAAAAACGTAAATTACATTGGACCCATTTCTCCTTTTTGCCCTTGGAGAAAAGGTAAAGGTATATCAGATGGTGGGCCTGGGATGCCTGGTCGCCCGTCTCGTCCTCTTGTGCCATTTCTGCCTGGTAGGCCTGGAGAGCCATAGTCACCCAATCTTCCTTTAATACCCTGTGGTCCGTAATCTCCCCTCAGTCCGGGCCAACCAGGATTTCCGGGCATGCCTATACGTCCGTAGAAACCTGCGGATAAAGACAACAAATACGTAATGATTACAAATAGAGGTAATGAAAATTCTAGTCCGAAAAAATTAACATTACTTAATCCAATTCTGCCTATAAAAGGACTAACTCTGAAAGAAAAATCTAAAAACTCTACAATAATCCTTCTTTATCTGATCACAGCCCGCCTACATGGTTTCGTGTCGTTTGTACTACGATCTGCCTGATATCATTTATAGGTATTTATTTATGTTATAGTAATAGTATCCTACTTGTTAAGTATAAAATATGAAATAAAGGGGAATGTAACAAAATTTCCCAGTTTTTATGATATCCAAAAATACACCAATCCACTGTATAATATGCATAGGAAAATAAGCAGCTAGTTCCTTTATATTTAAATAAGGCTCTCTAACCAAGTTCAACAGGGGATTTATACAAATACCGTGAAATGTTATAATGTGCTGACAATGAAAGCACTAACCAACGTCTCCCTGTTCTCCACGTTCTGCAATGGTCATAGATAACGGTGGCCGAATTAAAATTCCTTTTCTTCCTTTTGGTCCTTGGGGACCAGCCATACCAGATTGTCCTTTATTTCCCTTAGGACCTTTCGGGCCTGGGGTTCCAGGTCTACCAGCAAATCCGGCTACACCACGTGGTCCAGGCAACCCTTCTGCACCGGGAAATCCTTTCATTCCTGGGAAGCCATCATCTCCTCTATAACCCTTAGCTCCAGGATAGCCTGAAATCAGTTTTATATTTTTGTATCGGAGAGTTCAAATAAAATATCCAATAATCCAAAAAGTCATACAGAGCCCACTATCAAACATTTATACACCGTGAATTTTGAGTCACCTGAGATTTACTAGTGAATTCAGAAAACAATCTAGGTTGTATATCAGCTAAAAATGATTTTCTTTAGTAAATTGTTTTCTAAAAGTGCAATTATGAAACCTTTAGCCTTTTTTATTTAGCCCAAGCAATAGAGTAAAGCCAAATAAAAAAAATACCACACTCTAGTATTTTACAGATGTTAGGGTAGGTCTTAAGAAGCTTTAGCCGCGCGCATTTTGGACACGTTTTCGTTTACTCGTGCGGATACGTACAAACGATCCCGATATTCCAAGTATTATGGGGGCGCGCAGACTGGATGCGAGTCAGTCGTGCGTATACGTACGTGTAGTTCAGACGTCCGAAAACAATCCGAACTTGTTCGGATTTTAAAACACGTTCGTACGTTTTAACATAAGAAGTGGATGTAGAAAAGTTAATTAACCAGATTCACGAACATAAATGTTGGGACCAAAGTCATTCCAATTATCACTTACGTGACCTTCAGCGCAAGGCATAGCGAGACATATCCGAAGAAATGGAAACGTCTACGATAGCGACGACGCCACCGCAGTCTTCGAGTTATAAGAGAATTGTCGTGAAGATATAGATTATTCTTCGCGCTCCAACCAAAGCAAAATTCACAAATCCGATATCACCAGAACACTGCTCATATGCCTAATAAAAACGTATACAGTGTCCGCACTACACTACGAATTCATGTTCAAAGTGCACGCGGCCTAAGTTTAAAAATCGGAAAATGTAGGGTGGTCACACTGGCCGCCATATTGGAAAACGCGTTTATCGCTCTATGTCCGAAATTATTGACTTTACAGAAAAAAATGTAGAGTACTTTTTGTTTATTACTAAATTCCCTAACTTTTTATTGTTGTTTATTTGAACATGTTTGTAGTTTTTCCTTTTTAAACCTTAAAAATTCCATAATTAGTAAAAATGTCACAAAAAATTAATGGTCTTTAATTCCTTACAACTTTTGTAAAATAATTGATTATTATATAAATACTTTTAAAGTTGAGTCGTTAATGTGGCGCAAAAACGGGCATTGAATTGAAGTAACAGAAGTTTCCGAAAAATTCACTTACTTGCATCCAAATTGAAGCTGCCCCATGATGATATTGTTGGATTGTTATCGATTAATTGCAAAAAAATGTAATTTAATGATAGAATCTTATTTCTATAGCGTATTATTAAATGTTTATATTATCTTTAAAGTAATTTGAGCAAAGGAATAAGGTTGATATATTTATTCTCGTTATAAAATTAAGCAAGAAAATAAAACTACAATAGGTTTCGACGCTTTCCAGATACAGTAGTAGGAATATACTCGTCTTCTGAATCAGAACATTCTTCTGATTAAGTGTCCACTTTGTGCTGTGCGTTCTTCGTCAAGTTGGTTAGGAAATGCCCTAGACCCTGAAGATTGGGGCTGGAAATGGACTGGCCATGGTGTCATACCCATCAGCATGTCCCTAGAAATTGCGCCAAAAAGTTACTCAAAGATGCAATGATAGCGGGATGCATCTGCTATAGGCATGCAGGCCCCCTTTGTTATAAGCTGAGACTCCATGTGCAATCGATTTTTTATAAATATTAATTAGTGATGAGAATCAATTGCACGTGTACAAAACTTTGAGATACTGCGTCATTGCTACGTTAACAACTTATAACTTCAAAAGTATTTAATAAAAAAAAGTGTAAAATAAAAGTTGTAGGGAATTAAATGACCAATGTGCGACCACCCTACATTCCCCTATTTTTATACTAAAGCTTCTGATGACCTACCCTAACATCTGAAAAAGAAAAACTAGTGTTTGGCACGTAGATTCCTTATGAGGTATAGGGGTGCACAAAGAAAGGATTTTTTAAAATTCACCCCAAAGTGTTTAAAATGGGAAATGCAAGTTTGTATGGAAAACTTATTCCTAGAGTTAATAGACTTGAAAATTTTCACGAATACTTATCGAAATAAATTATAAAGTTTGTCATTTTTAGTTTTCTAAAGTACATACAAATTTCACCATGCGACGCTATAAAAAAAAACAAATCGCTAGAGCGGGTTCTATCTTTGGAACGCATAAAGCTTATGACGTTGATTGAGACAAGACTTTTTACCCGAAAAATGTTAGACTGTGTGTCCTGTGGGAAGTTCGAAAACCTAGTTTTAGCGGATGAAGTCACGGGCATCCACTAGTTTATACTAATACTATAAAGATGAAAAATTTGATTGCTTGTTTGTTTGTATTGAACAGACCGATTTTAATAATCTTACACATTTAGAATTCTACATTATGATCCTGATGCACACTAAGCTTTGGAGTATTTTCAAAAAAGTTAGGGTTCCGTATGAAAACATCGATAACGTAAACTAACGTGTGAAAAAAAAACCAAAAAGATAAATTAAGAAAATTAAAAAACCCGACTACTTAGATATTACTTCAAGTAAAAACTGAAAACAAGTCCAGTGGTCTATAATTCTGTTAAGTAAGGAACAAATCTACTTTACCAGTCGGGATCCGTTAGATATTCAAGAATGGATCAAATTTTTTCGGTGTTGGTACATCAGGTACATCAGTACCCCTAGCACGAACCAATATCGAATTTGTAACGTTTTCGAGTACGAAATGTCATTTCAACTTTTTGACAGTGGCCAATCATATGGCTTTCGTTTGGCAACATTCTAGATGAAAACGAAAATGTTTTTGGTGGCATTTCATTTCTTTTTGTAAGTTAAGTACTTGCGTTGTGACATTTTTTAAATATTTTTATTATTTATAATAACAAATAGTCCCTTTATACATTTTCAGGCCCCTAGCATCAAAATTGCGGAAGAATCATACAAACTTCCATCTCCAAGTTAAAGGGGTTGAAGGATAAAAGTTACGAGTATTGTATTTGTTTTGTTGTTTTTGTACTAATAATAGCTTTCTAGGATATTAGGAAATATATTGCGAATTTTGAAGATTATTATTGAAAGTCAGTGACGAAATCAGGGGTTTTCAGATATCAATAAAATCTATAATATTATAAGAACTATGGAAATTTAAACTTATATACTCGTAAGTTCGCTTTTGGCAACATATTTCGAGAATTTAGTTTCTGATATGATTCAAACCCAAGTTATAAATGAAAATTTTGAAAAAACAATGAAGCGCTTCGATTAAAATAGGTAGGATAAAACTCCGTTGTTTTCTGGATGGCGAATCCTTCCACAATAAGTATTGTCAAAATTAACATTTCGTAAAAAAATCATCATCATCATCATCAGCCTATTAATGTCCCCACTGCTGGGGCACAGGCCTTCCCTATGGATGGAATAGGGAGATTGGGCCATGACCCACCACGCGGGCCCAGTGCGGATTGGTGGGTGCTAACGACTGCAAAATGCAGCCGGGACCAACGGCTTAACGTGCCTTCCGAAGCACGGAGGAGCTCGAGATAGTAAATTTTTGGTCACCCATCCAATGACCGACCACTGCGAAAGTTGCTTAACTTCAACGATCGCAGCCGAACGCGCTAGCCACCTGCGCCATCGAGCTCCTCGTAAAAAAATATTATCTTTAAATAACGATTTTCGTGATTTTGTACCTATCTATGGTTTTTAATATGTTTGTGTGATGATGTATTTTCCCAAAATTACCAAAATTTATTTTGTACCTAAGTTCCAGGTCAGCGCCGCGCCCGCTGCCTCATATCCTTGCGCCCTGGGCTCCAGCCTTGTAAGCCTGTGGGTCAGTCCGATCAGGCCCTGGTCACAACAAGAGGTCCCCTGCGGTTTCACCCGCGTTAATTATAGGATAAAGGTTATAGTGAGTCAAACTTAACAGATAACCATATGCTGTCGCGAACTTTAAAGGGGGATCAATTCCATCATTCATAATTTTTGTGTAACTTTAACAGTTTACGCAATGCGCGGAACATTTTTACCGGTATTTGCAACATTTTTCATCGATGCTCCGCTACTACTGGTCGTAGCGTGATGTTATATTTCCTATAGCTTTTCACGATACTTGCACTATCTAACACAAAATAGTTTTTTTAAATCGGCCCAGCAGTTTCTGAGATTAGCACGTTCAACCAAAAACTAATAATAAGGTAGATATTACTAGTAACGGCGGCGCCGGTACAAACTGGGCCACATTATTCGTACCCGGGTATTAATTCTTATCCAAATATCCATCTATCATCCATATATCATATGGTCGTGAATTAATTTAGCTAATTTAATTTAGATTAGACCAACCCCAAGTTTTATGCCATTTAATAGTTATCATGAGTGCAATCAGAAATCAGAAATCAATATATCTTTATTCAAATTGGATGTATATACAACTCTTTTGAATCGTCCAAAAATTTTTTTCCCCTACCACTCGTTATGGACATATGTCCAAAAAATATTTTTTAGCTGCGGAGAAAAACGAGCGAAAAAAACTCCACAACATTAAAAGTCTAATGTAACAACATTTACAAATCATTATGTTGTTACAACGTCAATACAATTATGATTTATTTAATATAGAAAACCTGTTGGAATGATTGGAACAGTTCAAACCCAAGCATTTTTGTCTGTAATATAATCAGACACTTTGTAATAAGCTTTTTTAATAAGTGTTTTTTTTTATAATATCTTTAAATTTATTTATGGCTAACTCTTGGATATTGCTTGGGACTTTATTGTATAAGCGAACACAAAGACCTTTAAATGAATTATTAATTTTGTGAAGCCTAGTAGCAGGTAAAGTTAGTTTATTTTTGTTTCTTGTATTAATTGTGTGAACATCACTGTTTTTAAGAAACAAATTAATATTTTTTCTTACAAGTAATAAATTTTCGTATGTGTATTGTGATGCGACCGTCATTATTCCAAATTCTTTAAACTTATCTCTTAATGATTCTTTAACTTTAAAATTATAAATTGATCGAATAGCTCTCTTCTGCAGCACAAAAATAGTTTGAATGTCGGCGGCATTTCCCCACAATAAAATTCCGTACGACATTACACTATGGAAATAACTGGCCGTATCTACATCTGTTAACTGGCGTATCTTCATTACGGCATATGCTGCAGAGCTAAGTCTATTTGACAATTTATCAATATGTGGGCCCCATTGAAGCTTAGAATCTAAAGTTATCCCTAAGAATACTGTGGTGTCTACAAGGCCCACATTCCTATCCTTTACATTCACACTGGTTTTTACCTGTTTTACATTAGGCAATACAAATTTCATACATTTCGTTTTTCCTTCATTAAGTAATAAATTGTTAACATTGAACCAGTGGACTACCTTAGAGATACAATTGTTCACGTCGTCAATAACTTTTTCCTTGCGTTTGAGTTTAAATAAAAGTGATGTATCATCCGCAAACAATACTATCTCATGGTTATCTCTTACTTAGTAAGGTAAGTCATTAATATAAATTAAAAATAAGAAAGGACTTAGGATTGAGCCCTGCGGAACACCCATCTTAACCATCGAACCCGGAGATTTATTACCATTAATGTCAACCCTCTGAATCCTATCCCTCAGGTATGATGCAATAAGATCCAGATCAGTATCTCTAAATCCATAGTGGTGGAGTTTCCTGAGTAATGTTTCATGAAAAATGCAATCAAAAGCCTTGGACAAGTCGCAAAACACACCTAGAGCGTCCTGCGAGTTCTCCCAGGCGTCAAAAATTTGTTGTATAAGTTCAACACCGGCATCGGTTGTTGAACGACCCCTAATAAGTAATCTATGAGTGTTAAAAGTGATGGATAGATATATATACAAAACTTAAAAAGGTACAAACCACTGCGTCACTAGATACGTTCAATAATTAGGGCATAGACCAATGGTAAGGGAGCAAACATTTTAAACTGCAGAGAAATGGTGCATTCGGTACAACGGACCCTAAACTACGCAAGTAGGTATTCAATCAGTTAAATACATTTTTTACTTTGCGCTTTTTCTATGATATTTTGTAAACGATATAAATCAATATTTTTGTATGGATGTCCTATCTGTTCTGATTATTAGTATTATGCGATTTTTCAGTTTCTCATGTATAACTCAAAATTCACTGTGTATAGTAAAGTAAATAACTGTATGCAATGCAATGATGGAAAAATCAACGTTGATTTTACTTACCTGATCTACATATCGGACAATCATCACCACGTCCTCCTTTTGACCCTGGATAGCCGGGTGTGCCAGGACGTCCCGGGTCGCCGGCGAATCCAGGAAATCCTGGGGGTCCCATTTCACCGGGAGGACCAGTTCCCCTCAAACCGTTACCAGGAAAACCAGCAGGCCCCATAGGCCCAGGTTCTCCACGTCCACCTCGCATACCAGGTACACCATCTAGCCCTGCTGTGCCTCCTTCGCCATCAGGCCCCACAACTGTTATACCTTTGAAACCCTTAACTCCTACTAGACCTGGTGATCCCTGGAATCCAGGTGGACCTCTCGGTCCTGGTAATCCTTTGAAGCCATCGTTGCCAGGTTCACCCTTAGGAGAAGTGCCCATTGGGCCTGGTCGCCCAGGGTATCCTTTTGTACCTGGTAATCCTGGCATACCCATAATCCCAGGCAAACCTGGCGAGCCATCATAACCAAATGCTCCTTTGGGACCAATAAAACCTTCAGGGCCTTGTGGTCCTACTGTACCAGGGAGGATCGGTTCATTTAAACTAGGATCAAATCTTCCTGGTTCTCCTACTGGACCTTGCAAGCCTGGATTTCCATCTCGTCCGTCTTCACCTCTTCCTCCTGGCGTTCCATCAGCTCCGTCGAGACCCACGTAACCCGGGGCTCCCTTATCGCCCTTCATACCCGGAGGTCCGTCTTGGCCTCTGTGCCCTGGTTTTCCCCTAGGTCCATCCACACCCTGATCACCTTTTGGACCTTGAATACCATTATTACCTCGAGGTCCCTGAAAAGAGAAATATTTGAAATTTTCATTACAAATATGCGACATGCGCGACCTTACTTTGTCATGTCGATTAAAACTCAATATACCTACCTAATACTATAAATTGATTAAATTATAAGTATCTATATTTAATTTATAATTTATTAATATAATCAGTTCATGTGGTTTTTAATTATTTGAGATATCTTTACTAACCGGTAGGCCAACTGAGCCTAAAATTCCTTTGCTGCCCTTTTCGCCCCTCATCCCTCTTAAGCCTCTTTCACCTTTGTACCCTTTTGCTATTATAGAAATATTATGTCGAAATTCATTTTCAACAATAATCGATGGTGGCCGTCCTGGTTCACCGATTTCGCCTTGGTCTCCTTTCTGACCAGGTGGCCCGACAACTTCATCTCCTGGATCTCCTCTATAGCCGGGTTCACCGCGCAGTCCCACTCGACCCTTAAAAAGTATTAAATTATTAATAACTTGTACGATTTGTAAAAGTTTTTAATTAATATCTATTCTATATATGTTACTGACCTGATCACCTTCCTCACCAGGTGCCCCACTATCACCTCTATAACCTTGAGGTCCGACTTCACCCATGCTACCCGAAAGTCCGAATTCTCCCTGTTCTCCTTTCGCTCCTCGTGAATTTGATCCTCCTTCACCAGCCATACCAGGGAAACCCTTTTCACCATAGAGCCCTGGCAAGCCTCTATCTCCGGGAATGCCTGGTCTTCCAGGTGGACCAGTAACGCCATCAACACCACTGCATCCATCAAGACCAGGTATACCTCTTACACCTTCCAATCCTTGCATGCCCTTAAAGATACAAGAGATGCTATGAAGTAATAAATAAATATACAATTTAAGTCATCAGTTTGGATTCAATGCATACCTGCTGTCCTTGATATCCTCTTGCTCCATATGGCCCGTCGATACCCTGGAACAAAGTCACTGTTAAACTAGTATTTTAAATTATGAAAAATTATAGTTTATTACACAGAACACAGAAAGAGGTTAGAAGGGCCTTGTGGGCGGGGCAGCAATGGGAACCAAGTTTTAAAACTTGGTTCTGATTGCATGGTGCTGATTGGTTCGATTGTTTGTGGAGGTGAGCCGGACATCGGTTCCCGTACAAACGGTCTATGATCACTCTTCTAACCTGTTTCTATGTTCTGTGGTTGATTACATTAACAATGTGAGTTAGTTATGACATACCCGCTCGCCTTTGTCACCATAATCTCCACGTTCGCCAAACTCTCCAGGCTCTCCGACCCTTCCCATGCGACCTTCGGGACCATCTTCACCGTAGTCTCCCTGGTCCCCGTGCCTCCCCGGCGGACCGGGAACGCCGCGATCACCTTTTAGTCCAGCGCAATCGCATATAGTTTGATTGCATGATATCTAAAACATAAAAAAAAAATTTTTGTTACATAATTTGTTTAAATTCTTAGTTAATATATAACTACACGAGGAGAGAGTTAATATATAACTGCTCGATGGCGCAGGTAGCTAGCGCGTTCGGCTGCGATCGTTTAAGTTAAGCAACTTTCGCAATGGTCGGTCATTGGATGGGTGACCAAAAATCTTATATCTCCAGTTAAGCCGTTGATCCCGGCTGCATCTGCAGTCATTAGCACCAGCCAATCGGCACTGGGCCCGCGTGGAGGGTAGTGGCCCAATCTCCCTATTCCATCCATAGAGTGGGACTGTGCTCCAGCAGTGGGGACATTAGTAGGCTGATGATGACATGAATTTTGAGTTACCTGAGAAACCTGAAAATTGTGAAAATAAAAATAGTGCGAACAGTTCTAAACAGTAAGTAACAGTAAGTAGTACCCTACTGCATACAAAAAATATTGATTTAAATATCTTTTACCAAATATCCTAAAACAGCGAAAAGGGCAATGAGATGAAACGTTCCCATTATCACCACCTCTCAAAAAACTTGTATCAAGGTGTCATTTTAAATAGAATAGGATGATTAAATAATATCCCACTTTGGCGACTTGAAATATATAGGGTTTAGGTTTTTCATACTATAACTATACAGGGCGTCCCATGGCTACCTCACATGGAGGGAAATGAAATGCATACGTACTACAGTTTGTTTGACACTATTATTTTTATCACGTAATAAGACATTCCTTTCATTTAAAATGCTATGTTTTTTAGCAAAAAATAATCCTTATAATTAACCCTTTCCATGGTTATCATAAAATATCTTGTTTTTTTTCGATATTTCACGAGTTTGATTCCCAGTTGTAGAAGGCGATTTTAAAAAAATCTGTGAATGCAGTTCTTGTTACTATTAAAAATAAAATGATGTTTTCTTTCAGTAAAATATCCCATCTTCAATATTTAATATACTTTCCCTCCGTGTGAGGTAGTCGTGGGACGCCCTGTATAGGCTATAGAGTATTTTCAAAAAAGTTAGGGTTCTGTATGAAAACTTAAAAAATGTAACCCAATGTGTGAAAAGAAATACCAAAAAACAACCTTATATCGCGTACGCTGCAGAAGTTTTTGAAAATAGAGCAAAGTGATGTACTAAAGTTTTATAGAGGATATCAATATCTACAAAAAAGTTTGCAATATCATACCATACCAAAAGGGAAACTGCCAATGCGCTAGCCACCCACAGTCACTCACACAATGGTTCTTAGGGTCAAACGGACCGCAGCAGTGAAAGCACAGCGCGAGTCTGTAGAAATACAGAGGGCAGGCAAACCATACACAAAACAATAACCACGGCGGAGACTAAAACCGCGGGGTTTTCGTGGTCGGCGGATCGCGTCGCCGGCTCCCACTGCTCCTGAAAAGGAGCAGCCGGGGGTTGGGTGTTGTTCGGACGAGGAAGGCTTCTAGGAAGCGACCACGCCTGGACGACATACAGTTTTCGAGTAAGTAACACTTAAACACATCAATTGATAGACCAACGACGTGCATTTTTTTACCCATGTCCATAAAAACAACAAGCTTCAGTCTACATGCCGAATGAGGGTAAAATACCTCCGAAGGAGCTGACCAAGCTGGTACGACACTGCGAGGACCACAAGTGATATAAACCTAGCGACACACGTGGCGGTCAATGTAATCGAAGGATGGCACGTGTCAAACGAACCTTCCTTTGCAGACCACCGTAGTGTATGCTTCTAATTACAATTCAGACAAACAGACCCTGTTCCATATCGCAACCCACGAAAAACAGACATAACAAGGTACATAGAACTGTCGACTAAAGCGAGACACAAATGCATGATGAAATTCTTGACACAAACAACATAGAAACAAACGTTCAGTTAAAAGCTATGAACTGACGTGTCCTACCATCGTACTGAAAGGCGTGGGTAAAAGTTCCTGGTGGGTGCCAGAACTTGAAAAACTACGTCAGGAAATTAAGGACAGTTTACAACCGAGCGAAAAACACCAAAACCAATGAGAACTCCCAATCTGTCCCAGTTCTCATTGCCTCTGTTCTAGTAGTGTTTTTGTGCTATTTTATAAATATAAAATAGCACAAAAACACTACAAGAAGCGAATCAGATTCCAGAGTAGAGCAGGAAGGCGCGGCTTCTGCAGTAGTGTTAATTCAACGAATCAAGCTGCCAGACTTAAGAAAGTTCTGTCCAAGGACAACTCCAACCTCCTTGAGTCTCTAAAAAGAGAAGATAGCACTTATACAAAAACAGAAGAAGAAGCCAATGCGATGCTACTGTAAACCCACTTCTGAGGATGTCAACCGGCGCCTGGTTTTGAGTGGTCGAGTGAGCACCACAATGCACCAACAGCCTTGGAATCGGACCTGGCAAAAACAATAGTAATGGCGGAAGGATAGAATGGGCTATAAAGAGCTTTCAACCATGCAAGTCGGCAGAATTAGATATACCAGCAGATAGTATCTTCCCGGCGCTACTACAATGGCAACTCGGCTAGGCAAATAAATAACTAAAACCAATCTATAGAGCCTGCCTGGCCTTCAAGTATATACCGAAACCATGGAGGAAGGCAAAAGTAGTCTTCTTACTGAAGCCGGGCAAAGAAGATTATACACAAGCCAAATTCTTTAGACCAATTACCCTAACCTATTTACTTTTGAAAACATTGGAAAGACTGGTAGACCGACACCTTAGGGATGGAGCACTTAGTATGGCCCCGCTGCACCCTCATCAACATGCCTACAGAAAAGGCAGATCAACAGAGTCGGCATGCAAGCGGTGGTTCATAAAATAGAGTTGGCAATCACAAACAAAACCTCAACATTGGCAGCCTTCATAGACATAGAAGGTGCTTTTGACAAAACGATGCACAACAGCATTAACCACGCTCTAAGAAAACTCAAGGTGGACCAAGTCATCAGAGGTTGGATTACCGAGGTTCAACTGGTTAGCAAAAGGGCGGTTCAGATAGTGGGGAACATTACCACGCGTGCGAAGGTAGTTAGAGGATGTCCTCAAGGGGGAGTCCTACCACCACTTCTCTGGAACATAGTAGTAGACAGTCTCCTAAGAAGTCTGAATGATAGAGGATACACTACTATTGGTTACGCGGACGACCTAACAATTCTGATAAATGGGAACGCTGAAAATGTCCTTTGTAAAGTTATGCGTTCAGCCCTTCAGATTGTGGAAAAATGGTGTGACGAACATCACCGTTCGAAAAAATGTAGTAACTATCGCCGACTTTATTCATAAACAAAGTTCCGAATGGAGGTCTTTACTTTGCAGCGTAGTTGAAATACTGGCGGAAAGTATGCCGCGAAGATGTCAAGTGATATTAATAAATAAAATAAAAGATTGGAAGAATGGATGCAAACACCAATAAAAATACTAACGAAATAATTAATTTATCGTTTGAAAATTTTAAGGTTTATGCCGGTCACGTTCTTTTCGTACATACTATACCTATATATTGAACGATCCAAGGAAAATTAACTCTTAATAAAGAAATGTTATCTGCAAAACCGAAATGAAATAAATGGACAAAGCGGAAAGTAACCTCCACATGAGACCACCAGTAAAGAAAAATAACGTTTTCATGGTGTTATGTTTCTGTTTGTGAATAAGGTTCTCCGAGGTGCAGGTGATTATGTTCAGGGCAGCAAATGATTTTCTGCTGCTTTATCTATTTTTACTACATGACTTCACTTTACATTTACATCAGATGGAGAAAAGTAATTTGCTGCATCTTATACGGAGAAATTCTTTAGAAATCTAAAGATATATATAAAAACTTTAATGTATTACAAAGTACATAATTAGCTATGTACAGGCTCACCATGTAAAAAGATGACGTCCTCTGATAAACCAAGTACCTAATATAATTGCTAGATTGGGGACACAATAATCGGTAATATTGTGAACGTGCCTTATCGTTCAGACCTCTGACACACATACAATCAAAGTAGCTGAACAAGTGTAAGAGAGCATTTCACTTCCTACATTATAGTAGAGCATGGAAACCAGGTACTAAATGATAAATAGAATGTTTTTATTAAAGGATTCTGGGATGGATGATAATACTTGTCTTACGTTATTTTATGTTATCACATTTTGTAGAATAAACTTATAATTTTCGCTAAGATAAACACTATTTCCGTTGTCCTTGGCGTCTTCGGCCTGTCCGTAATCAAGCGAATTAGACCACGACTCTGGATTTGATTGCAATCAAAATCCGGCACACTAGGTAAATAGGTACTCAAACTTTAAGGTAGGATCTAATAAATATTATTTATTAACTAACTGTGAATTAAAAATGATTTTTAAATTAATAATTTCCTTAAGTAAGTTTTGCTACTACAGCTAACATAGGGCTTAAGTACCTAAGTACCTACTTGAAAAGTTTAACAAATAATAAAAGGAAAGAATTTCCCTTATTTTCGTTTTCATAATTAAAAAAAATCCAAAGTAGTGAGTGAGTCTGTTCACAAATCGTAATACTTAAATTTATGAGAACAATTTAGATATGACCGTCTCGGCTAGTTTAGACGCTATTATAATGAAATACTATCAATTTACACTTGATATGACAACATGGCTAAATTTACAAGACGACGCAATGCACTAAACTAGTTGAAAGCACCATCAGTGGATAGATGTCCTTCTTCATAATATATTGCCGGTAACGACTTTTAAATTATTGAGGTTCATAGTAAACCTGATTATTTAAAAATAACTGAGCTTAGACGAACACATAATTTTTACACATAAACGCATTATGAAAGTCGAAAAGCTACACCATTGGTTCGCAACTCTACGGGCCTTGTACTGAGTTTCATATAATGTCGACAATTAAAAGGTGATATCAAAACTTTAAATCATGTATTAAGTCCTGCTTCCATCACACTATTATTTATTTATTTATTATCAAATTAACAACTGTGGAATAAAACCGTTAAATGAGAC